ATTGCATGGTTGTTTTTTAAGGGGTAGCTCTTGAGCTATTCTAATGAGTTTTTCTGCTTGTGCTTTGGCTTGTGGTTGGCAAACCAAATACTGAGGTGCTAGCTCAGTAATTGCTGAAGCAAAATTTCTTTCCTCTTGTGATATTTATTGGAAAAAATATGGATTTTGGCTCTTCATGTAAAGCAGCTGGAAGTCCATACAACATTGTGAAGATTCCTCTTGAACAGAAATTGGCCAAAGCCCTGGTCTTACCTCTTCTTCCTCACACACATGTGCAGCTATTTCAATTTGTTTTTTCAATTTGCAATCTTGGGCAAAAGTTGGATGCTCCCAAAGCAAACTAGGACAAATTGGTGCCAGACTGCAGAGTACCAGGCCCTGTAAAGAGGGCTGCATGAAGCAGGTGCATGCTGATGGGGAGCAAGGGCTTTGCTTTCCCAGTGAGGAGGGCTCAGTTGGGTGCCCTGAAGACACTCTCCTCAACAAGAAGCATGAGTTACATGCCTCTTCTCTGGGGCTCTGCTGGAGTTAGCAATTGAACCTCTTCAGTGCTCAAACCCCATTGTGGTTCTGTGGGCAACACATCGGTTCTTTCAGTTCCTTCAGTCACTTACATCCAAAATTACTATGACTATGCTTTTAAGGTGAGAATTTAAAGTATTTGTTGTGTTTATCTACAGGGTTTTAGCTGCATGTTGGTAAAAGCCCATCCTGGAATGCTAGTAGCTGGAATACATTTCTGTGAATGCTTTAACTATTTGGCTAATTGCCTTTGCAGTGTTTCTTGTAAAATTATTTAATGTTCTTATATTTATATTTTCAACTGTAAAAAAAGTAATAAATTTTCAGCAACTACAACACAAAATATATAAACTTTGTCTTTTAGATAAGTGTCATTAATACTGGGCTGCATTACAATTCTTCAGATTACAGGATCAACAGTATATCACCTCTTGGAGAAAAAGTGGACCCAGTTTTTATATTTATACTCTGCTACATATTTTACCTTGCATGGTTCTGACAGATCAGGATTTTAGCAGAGAAAACAACCCTGATGTAAGTTTGTCCAGTCAATGCCTGCCCTCAAGTCTGCTGAAGCTGTCCTAAAGGAATGATGTAAGCAAAAGCATATAGCTGAGTTTAGTTTCAGTAATTAAATTCCCTATGAATACACATATTCCACTGGCTGTTTGGAGTCTTCTTTTTTTTTATTATTATTTTTACACACTAAAATATGTTAGGATTGTTGACATAAATTTTATTTTATATATTCCTAGGGGAGAGGAGTCCTTTCTGACTTTGCCACTTAATAGTACGCTCATATTGTAGTAAAAGTTTGCACTTAAACCAGCATAATATTTTAGAATAATATTTTAGGCAATCCTCAAGCTAGCTGAGAAGATGTTTTTGCATTGGGTGTTACAGTATCCATTTGGTTCTTGGTCTCTCGGACTTTTTTAGCCAGGACACCCAGGGCTTGGGGAAAGCTGCAACACCTGCCTAGAGCACCAAGTAAAATTCTGTGCATTAGTTTGTGGCTGCAGGGCTAACTCGGGGGATCTGTAAGGAGGTCTTAAACTTAGTCAAAGATAAACAGCCACCTGCCGTGTACAGCTGGCACCATCCTGCTCAGCAAATTTGGTCCCTAAGTGCAGTCTCTAAAAAGCGGTGCCCTGAAGGGGGAGGCTGGTCTATGTTTTGGCACGGCTCTGGCAGAGGGAGGTGATGAACCAGAGCTCTGTCCTCTGGTGCCGTGCAGAGCCGCTGTCCGGCCACCACCGAGGGACGAACACGGCCGGGAACGCCGCTTCATCAGCCACGACTGCCCGCTGCAGTCACTGGGGGAAGAACAGCAAGGAAAAGTTACAATAGTAGCTCTGTTAATGATACCACTTCACTTAAAAAAAACAAAAAAAAAAGACAACGGGAAAAAATGCTTTCCGAATTTTGAGTGAATACCACACCTTCAGTAACTCTGCAGCATCTGTTCCGTGCATTCATTCGATCAGATCTCAAAACAGTGGGGTTTTTTCAAGGCTGGGGGAAAGAAAAGCTTCCAGCAAGTATTCTGCCATTCGCAGCTTTATTTTGCGAACTTGCCAAGAGGTCGTATAAAACCGACACTGTTTTATGCAAACGCAGCCGGGGTTTTGTCGCGCCAGGAGGCCCCTCCCCTGCTCGGTCCGTGTGCTGTCCCCGTGTCCCCGCCCCGCCGTGAGGGCGGGGAGAGGCCGCCGCCATCTCCGGCTGCCGCCGCCCCGAGCGCGGCCGGGCCGGGCGGCTGTGGGGCCATGAGGAGCCGCAGCAACTCGGGGGTGCGCCTGGACGGCTACGCCCGCCTGGTCCAGCGGACCATCCTCTGCCACCAGGTGAGGAGCAGCCGCCGCCCCGGGACGCCTGCTCGGGGCTGGGATTGTGCGGCCGCTGCCGGGGCCGGGGGCTGCAGGAGGGACACGAGCATCCCTCCTCCGGTCCGCATGTCCCGCCCCGCCTGCGGAGCAGCGCGGGGAACGCTGAGGCGGTGCGGATCCTGGGGGCCCTTGTGTAAGTGTACCTTAGAAATCGTGTGGAAAACACAGCGAGTCTGAGCTTATAAATAATATTGTATAAATAAATAGCATTGTGTTTACAATGTCTTCATGGCTATATGATGCACACCCACCCGTTGTGCACACTATATCTACCTATCCACCTGTCTATAGATATCTACATACTATGTGTGTGTATCTATCTATATCTATATCTAT